TTCCATAAAGCGGAAGCACATTTACAGATTTTGATTAAAGATTACCAAGCTTAATTTAATTGTTTAACACAGATTAATTGTTAGCGCACATTAGTAGGCTTGTGAACAAAGTAAATGAGATCAGTTTTGATTTCATGGCGAAGAAGATACCATTTAAAAAAATATATGTTTTATAAAAGTTTGGTCGAGTGGGAACATGGAGTTTGTTAAAATGGTCTAGAGGTGTATTGGCACTAAACCCCAGAGAAGAAAGGCATGAGTGTGACGGTGGTTTAATGATAGCATGGGTGTAAGGAAGGCCAGGCCCTCTGATCAGGAGACAAGGACAAATTAGACAATGCTATCCTTGTAAGAGCCTAAAAAAGATCAAAATTAATAGAGGAGAGAATGTGGAAGTGATGATTGGAGGATGGTGAGGGAGGCAAATAAGTAAAGCTGAAGAGCTCTGATTGTGTTACACTTCCTCTCAGATTTGGGTGAGTAGTTCTCATTCAGAAAAAGACACAGCGGCCCTAACTCCCTGCAGCCAGTGCTTGCTTTGTTTAAACCTCTCTGAAACAAAGGAGTCCATTATAGAGAAGAGGGGCACGCATGCACACATCTATCGCTCCCTTTCTGTCTTTCTCATAGTTTTCTCATAGACAATGAGGCTCTCAAACGATCACCTCATAAGTGGACATCACTGTAGGCCGCTGTCCTGGTTTATGTTGTCAGTGAGGTTGGGTAGTGAATCTAGCGATTCATGACCTCATTTATGCGTTCTGATCTGAGCTATTGTGGGCTTTTCCCATGGCACGAGTGAGTTCCAGTTTAAGCTCTCAGAGTGTCTGAAACTAAATTGAATCCTCTCTTTCTCTGTAAACCAGTGTTCTGTTGAGAATGAGATCAACTACGCTGTTAGACATTCCTATAATTTGTACAGTTATTTACTGTAAAGAGAATTTGCAATATTGTACCTGTGATTCCATCTACATCATGGGAATTTTTTGTGACGTCAAACAGGGATTTACTGTACGGCCTTTTTGGTGACATTCCATCATGGGTTTTTTTTTTTATTTTCCAAATTTTTAACATTTAGATTGACAGGATTTGCCTTACATCGTGTCTACAACGGTGCAGCAGCTTTAGGTGGTCAACACTGGACACATTAAAGCGTTCGTTTGAACTTTAACCCGTACGGGTTTGGGTCTATATTTTAAATGGTCAGCCGGGTCCAGGTAAGGCCCCAATCTATAACTTCAGAGAAATAAGGTTAAAAAAAAACATAGTGCAACTTAAAGGAGCATTTCACCCATTTCAACATTAATCTTTATTGAAAGTGGATCATATAGACCATTTCACAAGATGTAAACAACACTGGCCCAGAAACACTTCCTGTTTCAGTTTATAACTGTTTTCTTTATTTCACATGTAAAGAAAACATCTTAAAGATGTTTGTTTAACTTTTTGATTCAGTTTTATATGTTCTGTTGGTTGTATTTTATCCCAGCTTTTATGTAGTGTTAAAAAACTGAAACAGGAAGTGCTTCTGGACCAGTGTTGTTTACATCTTGTGAAATGGTCTATATGTTGTCGAAATGTAAAATCATTTTTGAATTTGGTGCCCTATTGTAAAAGAATTCTTGAATTTAATGTTGGTTTGTTAAAACTTTTGTTTAAGCTAGCTAAATAAAATTTTTCATCTTTTTAGTGACATGCCATTTAGTTTGTTTGTTTTTTGTTTTTTTAAAACCCACAAAAAATGCAGTAAGTCTTAAATTTCAGCTTCTAGGCAACTGCAACAAAGCATCAAGAAAGAACACATTCTGTATAAATCAGGGTGAACATGTGCATCTGAAGTGTCTCTGGTGAAGGAAAAATCCATTATTTATCGGCTTTAATATACTTGTCTTATCGGGCCGATAAGACAAAAAAAATACATATCGGCCTATACAGATATGTTGGCTGATATATTGTACATTCCTAATATAGGTATCTAGTCATCAGACGTCTTGTCTGATCTTGCCCAATTATTTGGATGCTGCTGTTGTTTCTGTATTGGACGCTGAGTGGTATCAAATCTCACGCACACACACACACACACACACACACACACACACACACACTTGCAACCAGACTCTAGTTTTGGTTTTATAAACAGCTATTGGCTTTAGTTCAGATGTGCTAAATGCTTGTTCCATATGAAGTGCTGCTGAAAAGGCCAATTCAAGAGATCATTAAACTGCTGTTCCCTTAAAGGTGCCCTTGAATGTTTTGAAATAATATTTTAATTTTGTTTTTATCTACATAGAGGGTATGTGGCTTATTTAACGGCATTTAACATGTTAAAATGGTTTTACAGGTCTATTTTCATCTCTAGAAATGGCCCTAGAGTGAAATGGTTTGACATTTTATTAGATTTTTTTTTATTTATATAATTAAAAAAAAAAAACCCTATTTGAATATATAATGTGCTTAACCCCTTACTAGTCGGACATATATATATAGATGTATATTATCAGTAATATTCCTTCGGTCGACCACTGGTGAGGTGGTAATATTTTTGCAGCAAGTGAGTGTACCTAAACACTTTCTGCTTTTGTTTTTCTTTATCATGGCAAATGATACATTGCAATGAATAAACCCATCTATGCAGTTCATATTACTGTTCATTGTCCTGAGAAAGTGTGATGGCCTGAAAAGTGAATGTTCTGTCATGTTGAATAGTTGATTGTAAATAAATAATCAACATTCTCTCCTGCAATCTGCCTCTAACAATGTGCCTTTTCATAGTTGTGAAAGTACTGTAACTTCTCTCACAAACATAAGCTTCAAATGTGTGCAATATTCAAATGGGTATGATTTGTGAAATATTAAATGTTGTCCTTTTCATCTCTTTTTAGGACAAGAAAAACCTATATAATTTGCAGAAGTGCAGTTTTTTTTAGATGGGTTGTGTTAAAGTCAGCTTTGACAGTGGCATTAAGAAGAGGCTGTGCTTTTTTTTTTTAGTTTTTTTAAGAGCCTACTCATGGCTAGATTTTTGTTTGTTGGCAGAGAGACACTATATGGTACTATGTGTTAAAGGAGGCCATTGCTGGTAGAGTTAAACAACCATTTGAATTTCTGTGTATAATGCAGTGTCTGGGTTTCTTTTTGTGTCTGTTTGCCATCTACAGTATTTTTTTGAAAGGGATGACATCAGGGGAAGCATTGCATGTTTTTTTTTTTTTGATCGCAAATGATCGTTAGTTAACTTGTTTATTTATTCATGTAAGGAAACTGTTGCACAACCCCCGTATGACTATGGAGCATACTGCTCAACACTATTAGAGAGCATCATAAAACAACCAATATTAATAAAAGGGTGCAAAGTTGTGTGGCAGGACTAGTTCACACAACAGCTGTAGAAATCCACTAATTCCATCCATCCGGCTACTCCCTTGTTTCATCCACACATCACATGTCACAGCCATCTGTAAATCTGCAATCAAAATTATGTCCTGCCTTATGTCATTTATCTTATGAAAATAGCCAAGGAAGCTGGCATGGGGTGTTAAAACACAAAACAAAACAAACACCAACCAACCCGTTTGACCGTTTGTGAATTTTGTGACCGTTTGTGACTTGAAACCACCCCACCCCATCCCTGTTTTTTCTTTTATTAAAGGAATTGATACTTGTATTCAGCACAGATGTAATAAATTAATCAGAATCAAAACTGACAAAGACTTGCATTGTTACAAAAATCTATTTCAAATAAATGTTGTTCATTATTCTCTTTTATTTTGAGGTGTCTTTGTCACAGTGTAATTGAAGGACTACGTAATATTAATTATCAACATGTACTTACTATAGGGTCAGGGGTTAGTTTAGGGTTTGGTTTAGGGTTGGTTGCATGTCATTATGCATAATTCACTGTTATTTAGTGTGGCTTCTAAAAAAACCCTTTTGTAATCAGTAGTGTACTATGGTAACTTGACTTGAAAAGGCCGCATGTGTGTGGTGAGAATCAGAGAAGGCAGTGTGTGGAGTGTTTTAATACAGACAAAAATCAGCTGATTCCCTCAAGGGAATTATTCTAACTCTCTCCAACACTGGTGGATGCTTCATGTGGTGTATCTTCTTGTGCGATTGTGCCGATCCTCAGATGAATGAATAGAAATAGCTCTGATGTGTGGTAGGGTGGCAGAGTGCCTGTGGATGCTGTCCTCCAAAAAGAGCCCTGAATAAATCATTCATCTCCTTATGACTCCACACAGACTCTGAGGACCCATGCAGTTGGTCAAACACAATACTCACCCAAAATCTCACTGAAGGAATGGAGTTTTGTTCTCACACAAACGCCCCCAATCATCACGTTAATGACTCTTACAATGCTCCAAATCTCAAATGCACCTTTGATGGCACACACACACACCCCTCTCATGTTCACAATAACGCTCAGTAGAAATGAACTTTGAGCCAGCTGAAACTATTGAACCGTTTCTTCATGTAGGCTTTGTATAACCTTCAATGTGTTTGTTTATAGAATAACTTGAAAGTGCTGTGGTTTGGATACAAGACATTCATTAATATATGCTCTCTAGAATGAGGTTATTACCTTTTGTATGACATTTAAAGGATTTGTAATAAATTAATGAACCCACACTAAGTTCTCCAAAGATCCTCTAGTCTACACTTTTATGTTTGAGTGGATGATTAGTAAATGTTTTATGCTATACCTCCACCTGGTGGTTATAACATGCAAATGTATATCTTTCCACTGCTAGGCTCAAGCATTAAGCGTTATTTTACTGCTTTGGTTAAAATAATAATAACAATAATAAATAAATAATAATTGTATAGTTTCGTAATTGCCTTACTAATATTTTCACTGGCCCCACAACATTTGTATTTTTTATGTCATACATACAAAAAACATTCTTAGAAATAGTTAAGTTTTCTTTGCATTAAAATGTTGCATTTTATTACAGCATTCTATGGTAAAATTATTCTAATTTTTCATTTCTCTTTGCCAGATCGTTGTTACAACTGAGAAAACCTCCTGAAGGAACTTACTCTTCTTGTCGATCAGGTATGTGGTTGTCTATGCGTGGGAATATGTGTGTTGTCAGTAGGCTGGTGTTTAGTTGTGAGCTGATAAGTGCAGCATGTGCAAGCTGCATTAATGTGTGAAAGTATATTTATTTACACATAACTGATCTTACAATTTTAATGTTAAAGCACTTTTTGGTAATCTACCTAGCCTATTAAAAAACAAAGTCATCTAGAAGAGTGTGCATGGTTTCTTCGCATTCTCAAAAAATGTACTCTATTGTAATGAAATATTGTAAAAGATATCAGAATAGATAACTACTTTTAAATATGATCCGTTAATGGAGAACAATGCTTTTCTTATGGAATGTTTAGTTCTAAAATCAACCAGCAGGAGCTAATGTGTAACACAGCTAATGTGCTGTGTTAGACAATACATGCTAGGGCTGCAACAATTTTTTTATTAAACACACTTATTTACAAAATCAGTTTTTTTACCACCATGGACCAACTACCGGCGGTGTTTGGTGGGTTGTTTTGAAATAATGAAAAAAAGAAAAAAATATATAGATAGTGTTTATTTGAGCAAAAAAGTGTTTATTTGAGCAATTCCATCATAGCAGCAACACACTAAACTAAAGCCTGTAAAGCATTGAAATAAATATGAGTAAATAATGGTAGCTTAAATAATATAATAAAGTTAAATCTTTTTTTGTTTTTGTTTTATATTTCCACACACAAAGACGCATTATAGAGCTTACAGCTCTGCGCTTTGAGAGGGATCAGGGATGTGGCATGTTGGACATGAGCAGGAAAGAGACCATCAATCTTTTTTCTGATATCTTCATGTTTTCCACTTGATGTAAATAGTATGAAGAGCAAATTTTATCTTCCACAAGGGCAAGGCATTTAAGCAATGTTTGATGTTGCGCTGCTAGAGAAATCGAAAATAAAATCAAGTTGATCACAGTTCACAAACCTCTAGAGAGAAATGCACATTTCATACTGATTAGCCTACATAAGCAAATAGTAGGCTAGTTGGTTTCTTTTGGTTTTGAATTGTTTTGAAGTAGACAATTCATGCTTTCTATGTGGAATTTTGTTAACTCTCTCATTCTTCATGAATCCAAATGTTTCCATGACTGCGATGTAACAGTTAATTGCTAACCTATTTCTTTTCTAAACAAAGCTTTGTGCTTCAGTCGTGTCATAATATTCATGTAAAACAGCATTCACATACAAAAAAATGTGTGTTTTGGCAGACCACCGAGGTGGTCTGAATGTCAAGTTTACATCCACGTTTTGATTTGTGTCAGTAGAGAAACATACTTTTTGCTCTCATAACAGTGTGAGATCTTCCAGCAGGGGATAACTGCCAAAGATAACCAGCCAATCTATGAGTCTTTGGGGCCGAAATGACAACAGATAAGCTTATAGCCAAGTGACTTCATTTTATTATAGCTTTAGCAGACACGCACTGATCGAGTCAGTCTGCCTTATGATTCGTTACTGGCTCGTGGCAATTTATTGTGTTCCAATGATTCATTGTATGAAGTCAGGGGAGCGTTTTGTAGTTTCCATAAAAGCAGGCATGTGTACTTTATGGATAAAGTCCTACCAGGCCATCTTGACCTTCATGGCAGCAGACTTGCTGTATGTGAGCATAGACGAACAGCGAGAAAGGTTGACTTAGAATGAAAACAAGCTAAACATTTAGGTGTGACAACTAGATAAGATTTAAGTTGCATCTTTTTATAGGTGGTGGTGGTACATATCAACGTTTTCTAAATATACATTACACAAAATCATATATATATAGTCTATTCAGGTGACAATTCAGCAGTTAAAAATGCAACCAACGAGTCAGCACAGCTGAATTTAGCTCCATACCTGCTTTTATTTCACTACAGATGGTGCACAACTTTCTGGTAGCCCTTTGTCATAATTCATTTTTCGAATACACCAGCTTTAGGGGCTCATTCAGTCCCGCGTACGTGCTGTAATGTACATGATTTACTGGTCTATAAGACTCTTAATGCACCTCCAGATGATTCAGTGATCTCCTGGGGCCCTTGATTCACCGATTCACATATTCTCTATGAAGCAGAGATGCTAAAGTATATTACAGACTGGATCAATTACATCTAATAATCACTCCATATTTTTTTTTTTATCCAAAATGTCCTGATGTTTCTTTTGTTGTCTATGGCAGAGAATGGCTCAACTTTACAGCTGCATGCCAGTATAAGTAGCTCAAGGGCAAAATGGCAATTTTTCTTTTGCATATGTTGTATCCACTTCATCAGTTTGTTTTGTGTTTTTGAGTATTTTATTACTGTCTTGTTTTATTGACTAAGAAACGGTGAGAGTAGTCTGAGTGAAATGTGGTCTGAATTGATTCAAAAGAATGATTATTTACGAATCAATGCAATTTCTGGTTCAGCCAACAGAAATGGCCCAGAATTCATGGTTACGCACAGATTGGGCCCTGATTCACTTCCGGATAAATGGAGTTTGCAGCTATACACCTTATTATAATATTCACTGTTTCAATTGTCATACCTCAAGACATACAATATACATATTAACATGGGTTTAGTGTGGGGAAAAAATGCTTACAAATCTTTTCTGTGTAAAGATTTAGGCAATTTTACAACTTTATTCAATTATACTGAGGTTTTAATGGAAGAATTAATATAAGTGCTTTTATGAAATGATTATCTTTAAGTTTCTGCTTTAAAATATTCCAGAATGTGGTCCCATTTATTTCTTGAAGTAATCAACATTGTCACAAATGTTGTATACTATGTTAACTTGCATTGAACATAGAATATTCATACCAAGTTTGCTTGCTTAGTCTTATCACTGACAGACACATGAGGTTTGCAGTCGCAATCGCATACTCTCGAGTAGGCGCATATTCAAAATAAGCATTTTATTCACTATTGCTAAAAAAATTGATTCTATGTAATGTAATCCATTCGTCATGTTGTCATTATCATGTGACCAACCAGTGTCCGTTGCATTACTTCACTGCCATTCACAAATTTTCTCCTGTGGCTTCATGTGCATCATACGCACACTTCAGAATTTCGCTGGAAGAATTAGGTCATCCGGGTAGTATTTGCCTACTCTTTTATCTTAATATGAGTACTGTGAATTAAAACCGCATGTGGACACCAATGACACGCCATGCGTTTAATAACACGACTGCCACGAGTCAGTCACAGGCAGGAGTTACAGGACTAGAGGGAGAGATCGACAGAAGGGTCAGCAAAGTGGGGAAATAGGCAGAGGAGGATAATGTAACAAAGAAGTAGAGGGAGAAATGTGTTAAGCTGACCTCAAGCTTCATGTGTATTATCTCTTTGAGGTCTGTCTGATCTTGTGGGTGCTTGTGAAATGTTTAAAGGGATACTCCACTTTTTTTTTTGGAAATAGGCTCATTTTACAACTCCCTCAGAGTTCAACAGTTTTTCGATTTTCTGATATTTACAAGAATATTAGTAACCAGACAGTTTCTGGTCTCATTGACCTCCATAGTAGGAAAAAATATGTACTATGGAAGTCAATGGGACCAGAAACTGTCTGGTCACTGATATTCTTCTAAATATCAGAAAATCAGCTGAATGGAAATGAAAACGGTAAGACCCAACTGTTTAATTCTGAGAGCCTATTTCCAAAAAAAGTGGAGTATCCCTTAAACATCTGATCTCTACACTGTTCTTGCCATGTGCAATTTTAGTGTGTTAAATCGTCTTTACCTATGAAATGCAAGTCTCTTTGCTCCTCTTGTCTTCTATCTGGTTCAAATTCTTTCTGGTTCAAATTGACAAAGTGCAACCATGTAAATTGTAATTGGCTGTAATGTCACCACTAGATGGCAGCATTGTGCTTTATGATTATCATATAGCGGTGTATGATTGAATCTCCAGCATACCTTTCATTGCAATCAGGTTTTTTTTTTTCTTCTTCTTCTGTCCATACAGATTCTTGTCCCACAAACCTGATACTGTGTGATCTATTTAGAGGCAGAGCAAGTATGGTTGCCCCCACCTTCCTCTTTCCATCTCTCAGTTTTTCATTTGTTCTTTCAGGTCACTGGTTACAGGTCTTTGGGGTGATATAAAGGTTTCAGGGGCTTTTGGTGCCGCGGCACGAATCCGGACAGGCACAGGCCCCTGGACGGAAAAAGCAGAAATTGGAATTGATTTCAGGAACATTTGGGGCTAATGTATCTCTGTCTTTTTCATTCTGTCCCTTTGCCTCATTATGTATTGCATTGCGCAGTTCAATTTGTAGGGCTTCTCCTGTAATTGTGTATGCTCAACAAAGATTTTGGTATATACTCATATCTATGTCGTTATTTTCTTTTATAGATTTGCCAATGACATAACCAAGGGTTTGCAGACTCTTCCTGGGGTTGAGTCGCCCAACCCCAACGCTGCTGGATTGTTGTGGTAACGTTGTGAAGTTGAAAGGAAGCTGATTTGCCGCTCACCATGCCAGCCCTCTCCACCAGAACTGGCAGTGAGATAGGTACCTCATCCTTACACCCTACACCTTATTGAACAGCAATTAGGTCCTCTAGGATTTTGACCAGCAAGCTTGGCCAAATGTCAACTTCCTGCTTATAAAGCTGTTTATCGTTAAAAATAACACACCAACAAACATATGGTTCACTAGATGTATTAATCAGTATGGATATATGACTCACAAGCGTCTGAATTGTACATTCATCGCTTTGTTAAAAGTTAGTTTCTAATGCTCACCAGTGCTGCATTAATTTGATTAAAACAAAGTAAAACAGTCATATTGTGAAATTATTACAATTTTAATATTTTTTAAAATGTAACTTTTTCCTGTTATAACTAAGCTACATTTTCAATAGTCATTACTTCAGACTTGTCACATTACTTCAGTAAGTGTCACTGAATATATTTCCCAAAAAATATTCCAATATACTAATTTGGTGCTCAAGAAACATATGTCATTATTATGTAAACAGTTGTGGTGCTTTTTTTTTTTAAACTGCATTTTTTTTCCTGTCACCATTGATCGATGGAATGTATCATTATGCACAAATGTACCTTGCCCATATCCCTTGCTCTTGGTCTCATTTCCTTTTGTAAAGAAGGGATTACTAAGTGAATGTAATCTATTTAAAAATAATGCCTAGTTGGGGTATAAAATTCTGATTGACGATCGTAAGATTACTGGGAGACGTGTGGTATGTATGGTTGGGTTACGTCTGTTTTGTGCAATCCTGGTTTTTAATGAACACTTTGAACGCCCAGTAAGCCACTGTGGATCTGATAGATTAGAATCATTACATACCTTATGTCAAGATGTGTGCGAGCACTCCTGTGCTGTTATGCCACTGCTCTGGATGTGTTATTGCCTGCAATGCTGTTGTTGGACACCTAACATAACTCCCACCCATCTCTCTTATACACACACACACTTTAAACATCCCATTCATAAGGCAGGAAATTGAGATTTAATCACCAAAGTCTGCTATAAAATTGATCAAGGATGACTGCCACTAAATTATTAGCTTGTTTCTGGCTCTTATGATCTTTTTTTTTTTTTTTTTCTATTTTCTCAACACAGGTCTATTCATTCTTTCATTAAACCTCTCCATCACACAGTGTCTGTTCTGTTCTAGTCTCATTCCTCTATATGGATGTAAAAACCTATTCTTTTACTCCATGTATCCTGTTTTTCGTGTGGGTGTTTTTCTTCCTGGTGGCATTTGATTTCATTACCCTTGGGTGTCTTTGGACTGAGCGACCCATCCACCCACTACCTGTAAAATGTGTATGTGAGAGAAAGTACCTCTGGTGTTGATGTCTCATGATAAATTACTGTAATTCATCTTGCATCAACTGCAAACTCAATCATCATGTGCACTTCAGCTCACATTCACAAAATCAGGCATTATTCTCTAAGACTTCCTAAAAGAACAGCATACAATAGCCTTAAAAAGCATGCCTTCATCACTTACTTTTTTGAGACGGAACTGATTCGTCTAACCCTGTCCTAATTGCACTCCGGGGCCTCATGTATAAACATTTTTCCACGCGCACATCGGGATTTATAAAAAATAAACTTGGCGTAAATAAGTGCGCACCGTAAGGATGCTCTTGACCGTGCGTACGCACTCTTTTAGAAGAGTATGGGTTTTGGAGACACCGATGGTGAGCTGGAGTCAAATGTCTTTTTGCTTACTATTAGACAGAGAGTCTAAAGAAAATTATACATCTACAGAAAGATAATACAAATATAATTTCACAAACCTATCATCACTTGAAGCAAACATCCATCCCTTCTTAAATGACCGCCAGCACGCGCGTTGGGCCGTTTGGTGAAACTTACGCATATAGCCTATAATCTAACGGCAGATGGAGTAAAACCGTAAATCTTCATTATGAGTCCAAATCATAAATACAGTCCATATTCACAATAACAGTTTAAATAAATAAGAGAATGGTTTAAACTATGTTTTACTTCTGATATAAACATTAAGATTAAATATGCCATTCTCATTAATGGAGTTAAACTGTTAAACTACATGAAATCATTACTGAGAAGTTACAATATATATATATATATATATATATTCAATAAATATAAATAGACCTATTTGTTGTGGATGCATTGCTTTTGAACACTTTTCTTCTGGCATGCTGTGTTTTGATGTTTTAACTAGAGATTGTCTGAGAAAACTGTTTCGTGCAAATAATGCACAACCATGTCTATCTCTTCCATTAAAATCTCTTCCATTATCCATTAAAATATAAATCAATTAAAAATACTATTTGGCCAGTGGAAAAGATTAAGAAAAACTTTCTCTGAAATGTATTTAACACTATTTGATTTATTCATTCAAAAACAAGGCAAGGATATAGGCTACTAAAAAAAAATGTTTGTAATAATGTGACGGCACATCCACATTTCATATTTTCCTAACGTCTTGTACAGTTAAACTTGGTATCACGTGGATGAATAATCATATGCAAATCATATGCAGATGAGGATATGCATAGTAAAACTAGGCGTTGTAATTTCCATATATGGTTATTTCGGGGAGGAGACGCACGTTCGCATAATCTCCCGCTGACTGGGATTTATAAAGTGAATTCTGCGCAGGTTCTGGCGTACGAACGGTTTTATAAATCTGAAAACTTTTGTGTGCGTACGCAAATTCTGCCTTATGTGCGTACGCACACTTTAAGGATGAAATCTACGCAAAGTTTTATGCATGAGGCCCCAGATCTATTTATTTATTGTTTTAAAAAAAGCACATTTATTTATTGAAATATTGTAATATTTTATGATAATATATATATATATATATATATATATCAAATATTTATATAAATAATCAAATATTTATATAAAATGTATATTTTATATAATATTTATATAAAATGTATATATTGATTTTAATTAATTAATTTACTTTTATTTTTATTTATTTCTTTTTCATAAATATAACGATCAAAAGATAATATATTTTTTAAATATATTATTATTTTCATAAACCGTGAAAGGAAAGGTCATTCAGTGAGTGGTTCAGTTGTTTGAGCTGCACTCCCTCCTGCCTTCCTCACAGTCTGTTAGCCTGATCATTTTGAATCTGCCCTTTGATTGGAGCATCGTAGCCCCCTACTAGATTTTTATGAGCCGTATGAAGTTTTACAGTGTTATTCTGGGCAGGCCTGCTGGTCCTATTTTCCTAAAACTCTCCCCAAGGCATCACTAAAAAGATAAGAGCGCCAGGTAGGCTTGAGAGACAAAAGGGGACATGTGGGAAATTTTTAGGACAGAAGTTCTTTAGCAGATAAACCTCCTCTAATGAAGATGAATGCATGTGTGTGTGTGTGACAGGTTTTATGCATGAAACTATCTGTGCAGGTATTCTACTTGAAACTGGAATTGTTTTTTGATTAGTGTGTGTATGTGGAAATAATATTTCCATCGTTCCTGTTCAGAAACAAGTGTATGGTGTAATGATGCCGTTGTCCGTAACGAGATCCACATTGAGCTCCATATTGTTTTATCGTTCAGGTACTGAGTCTCTCTTATGGCTTCAGCAGAACACCAACTGAATATGGCTGCAATGAGGGATATGACAGGAATGGCCATATTAAATTTCTTCTCGGCTAACAGTAAATTTTTCCATTCTGATGTCAAGAATGCAGAGCATCTGGGAGCAGAGGACAGAACGAAAGCAAGGGAGGGAGGGAAGGAGAGAGGAACGTTAGTAGCGGCTGCAGTAAGCACTTTGGGAGCACTTTATCGATTTCCAGCCATTTATCCTCCTCTTTTCCATCTCTCCTCTTTTCTCTCTCTCTCTCTCTACTGCCACAGGGATGCAGAACTGTAACACAAGGATTTGTTGCCACTGGAATAGCTCCCTGTTTCCAATTACATCAGAATGAAAATTTCCACTTCATTTTACCAAATGCAAGAGAAAGGAGAGGTAGTAAAGCGGAGGGACAAGGAATTTCATTTATTTATTTATTTATTTATTTTATGTCCCCATTTTCAGGGGATAGAGATATGTATCGCTGTCAACAAGCAGAACGCATTCAGTTCCGAATGTCTGGTGTGTTTTCTGAACCAGTATAAAAAGGGCCTGAACATCTTCATACACAAGGTCTAAAAGCCTCAAACAAGCAATCTAGATTTACTTTATTGCATATCCATCACATTCACAATACTAGAGTGTTGCTAATTGGTTGATAGGGTGCTCTGGGTGGTGACTTACTAACCCATGTCAAAAGAGCCAACCACTTTGTCTCTGATATTCTGGTTACACATCTGATCTTTTAGTAGCTAGAGTTTCAAAAACCCAACTTAAAATTCAAAGCTTGTCCTTTTTCCTTTCCACCCATTTTTGGGTATAAGCCGTCAACCAGGGCTCATCAGGCATCTCTACCTTGGGCTTTCCTCTCGCCAGAGCCTGAGGTCTTGTCAGATGTAGTCCGGTGTTATTTTTCTGGTGTGATTGAGCTCTGATATAGGCATGAAATGTGTACTGTCACATGGAATCAGAGTGTGATTGGACTGAATCTTTTCTACATGTGTTTAAATGGCTGCTTCAGGATCATATTTCCTCCTGTTCTGTCTAATCTCAGTAAAATAACAGAGATTCTGAGCTCCAGAGATGCTCATTTGAGGGACGGTTTGACCTTGGCTACTGTGCCTCTAGATCAGAATGAAAAAAGCCATCTTTTTTGATTATATTTTCCTCTTATGTGTGTCCACATGTTGAAAAGCACTGGCCCAGCATTGGGAAAAAAACACCAGGGGCCTGATGTATAAATGTTGCATATGTGCGTAATTTTCCATGCACACGTTGAGATTTATATTTAAAAAAAAAAAAATCTTATTGTAAATGTGTGCGTACCATAAGGATACTCAAACAATGATTTAAACTGTTTTACATCTGATATGCACATTTAGATAAAATATGCCACTCTTATTAATGGAGTTAAGTACTGAAATGTGTGTGCTGTGCTGAAATTTGTAATTGTCAATGATGACAATTATTAAAACTAAAAAACTGCAAAAAATAAGTCCTCTCTATTTCAATTTAAAAATATATAAAGATCCTAATATATATGTTTACTTTAAAGACAAAATTGCATAAGTTTGATTTGCTTAAAGCAATTCAAAAAATGATATTTGGCCAGTGGAAAAAAAAAATGAGAATAACTCTTCTCTGAAAACTTTCTCTAAAATGTATTTTGATTTATTTATTCTAAAATAATACAAGAATCCTGAATGACTTTAGCAATGTGATGGCCCATCTCATATTTTCCTAATGTTTTTGTACTGTAAAACATTGGTATCATGTGGATGGGAATATGCATGGAAAAAATATGCAGATGACATTAAACTCATATGGTCATTCTGGGAGATGCATGTATGCACAATCTTCTGCTGACTAAGTTTTCTAAAGGGAATTTTGTGCAGGTTCTGACGTACGCATGGTTTTATAAATCTGAAAACGTTTGTGCGTACTGGCATGCTAAATCTAACTTTTGTGTGTACGGACACTTTTGGGATGAAATCTATGGAAAGTTTTATATGTGAGGCCCCAGAAAAATTTTAAACCAAGTGAATTTTTTTTTGTGTGAAATTGCAGTCACTCAATATGTTTCTGTTTTAAATAAATGCTGTTCTTTTGAACTTTCTATTCATCAAAGAATCCTGAAAAATTGCATTATGGTTTCCAGAAACATAATAAGCAGCACAACTGTTTTATGTCTTGAGCACCAAATCAGCATGATTTCTGAAGGATTATGTGACACTCAAGACTGGAGAAATGATCGGCTTTAAATTGTTTTAAAATATAAATTTATTTTAAATTGTAATAATATTTCACAATATTTACTGTATTTGATCAATCAAATGTACCTTGATAAGCATAAAATTAATATTACATACCTCAAACTTTTCTGAATGCCTTTTTACATTGTCTTGTACTGTATATTGCCACATAAACGTCCATCAACGGGTATTTTCATTTAAAGTTACTGCTACAAATTCACATTTGCAACAATTAAAGTTGCAGAATGGAGTACGAATTGTTTATAGCAATTAGTAGGATGACGGAGTGTATATATGCACTACTGATGTATACGACTAGACACCATTTAGTGTGTGGCTGTGTGTATAATTGTAGTAGATGGTCCAGAACATGCTAGTAGGTCTGAGAAATCCTGGGCAAGAGCTCGGATGTGGTGTTGTGGTTAAAGAGGCTGGAGCTGAGAACACTGCAATGAAACCCTACAATGGACTCCGAATGCCAAAAGAGCATGCATGTTTGTGTGCTTCATGCTGTTTAGACACAGATCAAAGATCACTACATCTCAGACCTTTGTGTAGCCACTAGCCAGATAATTTACTACAATTTGTTAGATCCGGAGGGCCTCTCTTTCTCGCTGTGGATGTAGTTTTTCTGTTTTAGGAGGCAAATCAAAGGAAAAATGAATGAAAGTATGCAGAGTACAGCTGTTCTTGTTTTCATATTTCCATTCACTCACTCAGTTTTCTCACAGACTGGCATGAACCATGTTCTCGGAGTATCACCTGAAATAGTGAGCTCTAAGGTGGTTCTATGCATGAGTGTGTATTTGCATGACATTTATATTGCTTCACAGAGTCAGTCTCTCAGCACTTGAAGGATAGAAGTATGGCCCCGTGTTCATTTTCTGCTGCACAGCTCACTGAGACGAGTGTGTGTGAATCTTTTTGCACTATTGACTCTTGAACCTCTCCAAACAAGACATTCAAAGAAAGCCATTTTACTGTTCCTTTTCGAAATGTGGCCTGTAAATCTTTTTGGTCTGGTTTTCTGCCAGTTGTCCTCTTCTTGGCTAGTGTGAGGTCAACAGGAGCCAGACAGGGAGCCAACGGAGCATATTTCCCATGCGGACAGCCTCTATTGTGGCGTGTGTTTGTGTGTTTGTATGCGCTGTCCTTGTTTCTTTTTTTCAGGCCCTTATGTGACCGGCTAAGAATATCTGTGTTGTTCCAGAAAACCATCATGTCTGCATCACTTAAGCGCTTGTGCGTGTCTGTGTGTATTGTGTTAACTCCAGACAGTTTGGATGACCTTGCTGCCTTCCTAACAGGCTGTGTAATTAAAGCTGCTCTCCATGCCCTGTGCTGCTGACCCATAATGCTGTGAATTTGAGAAGCAGGTCCTTTCGGCCTCTGCTCCGCCCTGTTGTATTCCAGCACTGCCATTGATGTCGGAGGAACGCTGTTATTTTCTGGAGGCCGCTGGGAAGTGTAGGCGTGTGAAAAGGAAACACTGCTTGGCACAGCATTCTTTCACATCCCGTCCGGTATATTTGGCCTGGCGGCCAATAATGTTCAGTTTACGTAGATTCTTTTATAGCCTGCTGGGACATAAGGTTAGATGTTGACTTTTAAACTCTCCCGTTTTTTTTTTTTTTTTTTTTACTTTTTGTCTCACCTGGCACGGGGACTGATCCACCAGCCAAGCAATTTTTTTACCGGCCAAAATAATAAACAGCCTTTTTGTGTTACATATACGAAACGACCTGGTTGTGAGATTTCTGAAGGGTGATGGGAGAATTAACCCCTCCAGACCTCCCTCTGTGCCATCATGGGACCTCTCCATGGTCCTAGGGGCTTTGAGGGGTCCATCTTTGCACCGCTCCTGTCGGTTGATCTTAAACCTCTCTCGCTGAAGACTGCTCTCCTGTTTGCATCGGTATCTATCAAGCGAGTGGGAGATCTGCAGGCTCTCTCTGTTAGGCTGGCATGTCTGGAATTTGGTCCTGATGACTCCAAAGTCATCCTCAAGCCCAGGCATGGTTATGTACCCAAAGCTTATAATGTCACCGCATGTGCTCTGCACAACCACATTCACATATATAAGAAAATCCACCCACATTTGGCTCTTGGCGGGTGTTCATTTCGGACCCTGATGGTACGACATTGACACTAGTAAAAATCATTTTGGATAATGCACATGTCAACAAAATATATAACTGTTATAGTGTTTTTTGGATATTTTAATTCTCATGTCTCTTTATGCTCATGTCATTCCAAACCTTTTTTTCTTGTGTGCAAAATAAAATAATTTGAAAAAATGCTTTAAGTGTTTATTTGTCCAAGTGATCACAAAAACAGTTTGTTTACCAAAATTCTTCAAAATATATTTTGTGTATATATACATTTATATTTTATATAAATTATATAAAGAAAAATATATTTTATATATTTTTCCACAGAAGAAAAAGTCAGTCATACTGTTTTGGAATGACATGCAGGTGAATAAATGATGAAAATCGTAATTTTTGGGTCAGTTACTTTCTTAATAATAGTAGTCTTCATTTCTACCTTCCTCTGCAGTGTTTGCTTGTGCATAAGCATCTTATTAAGACCTGGGTGGTGTTTATGCTCGTTTAAACATCACAGGCATCCCAATGAAACTTTAGGGATTTGATTCACAGTTCCAGTTGTGATTCCTAGAAAAACAGGAAATATCCAGACAAAGGGAGGAAGTAAGGTGCAGCCTGGGAGAGGACTTTTTTTTTTTACCCTCCGTTTGACCCATCGAGCATGCTAAATTAAACTGTAATGTTTTCAATTTTTGGTTGTTGGCTCACTGATGTTTAAAGACTATACTAACGTCACACCATCTTAGAGGTTATCACTGGAAAATGATCTTCATAACTGATCTGACATGCTTCAGGTGACTGTTAATGCAGATTTTATGAGACTTGTTTGCGTCCGTCTATGTTTTCTCTTTGGGTATTGGGAGTGTGTGTCTAATTCTGTAATGTGTTTCCTGTATTTCCTCTGCAGGTCTGTATGAGCTGTTGTCTGCATTGCCGTCTCAGCTGCAACCTCATGTTGAGAGCGCAGATGACCGCTCCTTTCTACACGCTATGTTTGGGGAGAGGAGTCTATATTCATTGGTCAAGGTGAGTGTGTGAGAAATGTTAGACATAAAATACTCTTGCTATAACACACTAGGTCACTAAATCTCTCTGTCGTTGTATCATTATAATTTGTTGTTTAAGGATAGCTTTGTTTTTTGTTTAGTTGGTTGTATAAATGGTGATCTAAAAGCACATCCAGAAAAAGTCAAATCGTGATTATATTGAATGTGAACGGTTTCAGGCTTGAAACAGGGATGTAGGCTGTTGTTATTGCTAAATCTAAATCTGTGGTTAAGGCCAGTTTTAATTGTTTTGTCACTTTATTTACTTGTACTCTCCGGCTTGTCTTTTTTGAGTGTGTATTTACACAAGTTTTCTCATGCTACTTTTGGGAACTCCGTTTAATCAGGTTGTGCTGTGCCTGTGCTTATCGGCTTTCACTCGTTTTTCCTGCAGTTCCTTTAATTTGGACGTTTTTCTCCCCCTCATTTTGTCATGGTCCATCACTGCTGTCATTAAGGTTCAGATACATGTAATCATTGTTAATACATAGTTCACTGGCCATATTGGTCCCATTGTACATGCTGTTGGCAGAGGAGGTCTGACAGACAGCGGACCACAGTCTAAGCCAAAGACCTCTGCTCTCTTTTCTCCATGCAATTAAAGCAGGGTTTCACACATGTCCCACTGCACTCTGTTCCTCTGCCAAGGTGCCACTCCAGAGAGCCTTACAGGAAATCTGACACAACCTGTAATTTCCACCTAGTTTAAGTTTGTAGTGTGTGTGCCTATGTAAGACAGAGGGGAACATGAAAGCAAGAGAAGGATAATTTGGAAACTTTTCCTAGAATATATAAACTCTTCTAGTGAGAAGTAAATAGTTTGGTGACACTTTACTTAAAGCCTTTATGTATAATATATTATAAAAGTACTTTAATGCATTAATTATGCCTTTTAATGCACCTTATAATGCACTGTATTGTATCATGAACAATCGTAACCACAATTATGATATAATACATTGTTACAACTTTATAAAGTGCAATACTTGAAAACATGCAAACAGCCAATTTAAGCTGTAACAAGGAATGTACAAATATTATAATGCATTTTAAACTACAATTGGTTACAATTATTTATGAAATGATTACAATGTGCATGGTGAATACCTTTACTTAAAGTCTTTAGTTTTGTATGTAATGCATTATAAGCCCAATTGTTATTTCCTATGAACTCTATCCTATAATATTTGATTAATTTTTTTGTATGGCTGCAATTACACTTTGATCCAATATTTGAAAAAAAATTTGATCCCCACCCCCCATATATATATATATATATATATATATATATATATGAATTATTGTTTTTCATATTTGGTTTATTTTGGAAGCAGTCTGCTTTTTGCTTTTTCAATTTTCTTTTTATTTCAGTTTATAAACTTGACACAAACAGCTATAAAATCACTTCCATTCTCACCATATTAAAGCTTTCCATTTGCAGTCAGGAAGTTCAAATCTCTCACCTACTTATCAGTTTATAACACAGATGGAGACGTCTGCCCTACTGTTGAGTGTGAGATGCTGAAGATGTATTTGTTGGAGTCCCCGCCGCTGGCAGTTACGGCTATAGCCAACATTTTCCTACTTAATACCGAGCCACCATATTAATGTTTGTGAAGTCTCTTAAAGAGCAGCTGGTGTCTGATTCTTTATAATCTGTATTCTGCATCCAAAATAAATTTCCAGAGTAATACAAAACTTGGGCATTCAGTGTCTGGACTCTGCATGCTCCAGAGTCAACAAATGCATATCTCAGTGCACACATACGCTTGAGTGAGAGTGTGTATTTTTATGTGCGTGCACATGTGCATTTGTCAGGGTAACTGAATGTGCTTGGGATGGAATGCAGACATATATTATGCAGTATATGTTTAATCCATAAAGCCACTGACATATTACATTATGCGCAATTAGAGCATATAGTGCTGGGTTACGGACACAAACGGGGGCAAGACCTCGTCTGAGGAAAAGTAAAGTAGGTCTCATACCTTCTGAGATCATATTCTACCTTTACACGACGGACACCTTATTTCAACATCTTTCATAAGGAAAGTATGGGCTCTGTTGGCTATTTTTGGATGATCTCACTGTGTTCACAATGCTGTAGCTGCCATAAATCTGAATTGGCGTATTGCAAGTGCCACACATGCAGTAAATGGGTGTCATTCATTTGAGTTGTGAAAATGGATATTAGAAATGAGGAATAAACTGCAAAGATTGTTGCCCCTAATTTCTGGAATGGATATGCTGGTTTAAATGGTAATGTTATTGAAGTTGTAAGTTCTGACATGTACCTTTTACCTGGAACATTAACCAGTGTTCTCATCTTCTGGACTCTGCTTGGTGTAGAATAGTCAGAAAAAAAGTCTCCATAATGAGGAGTTAAAGTTGTGTGTCTCACCAGTCTTGTATGGTGGGGTTTGTGTAAACATCCATCTCTGACAGGCATGTCACAGTCAAGCCCGTCTGTCTGCAGGCCTTTCCTGTCTTTGCTCTCTGAAGGTCTGCGATCAGTTTGAGCGTGAGGTGATGAGGTGCAGTTGGGCCACTGGTGCTGTTCTGGGGCACGCAGGCTTTGGACTGTCAGGGGTTACTTGATCCAGCTGCTCTGGTCATTGAGAGACAAGCGGAAGAGAAGAAGTTGAGATCATTTCAACATTATGGGTGTTCGCAGAAGCCCAGAGCAGAAATACTACACCGTTAATGCATACCATTGCCAGACAGTTCATACCTGCATGGATTCTGTGTTGGATTCCTTTAAATGTGTACCGTCTTCTATGTTTTCATTCATTCCTGTTCATTTTATATATTTGAATGTGTATTACATATCTATTTTAGGGTATCTTCCAAAACATAGTGAGACACACCTGTGTATGCAGGTGGCATGCTCACTTAAAGGTAGACATCTTAATTATGATGCTTTCTATGAGGCCTTATTTTGACCTTATATATATATATATATATATATATATATATTATATATATTACACTAACTTTACGACATTAATTTATATATATATATATATTAAATTAATGTCGTAAAGTTAGTGTTCCCTAACTATATACAGTACCATTTAAAACTTTTGGGTCGGTAAGATTAATTTATTGATATTATTATATTTTATGAATGTGTTATATTTTATAAATTTTAAATTAATACTTTTCAGGAAGGATGTATTAAAGGAGTAGTTCACTTAAAAAAAAATTGCTGATAATTTACTCACCCCATGTCATCCAAGATGTCCATATCTTTCTTTCTTCAGTCGAAAAGAAATTAAGGTTTTTGATGAAAACATTCCAGGATTTTTTTCCATATAATACACTTTACTGGGCACCAAACGGTTCAAAGTCTAAAAGACACTTTCGGTGCAAACTGTTCAAAGGGCTTTAAATGATGAAATGAACAAATCTTTTTTCATGTCATTCAATAAACGAATTGACGAAAAAGATTCGTTCATTTTGATGAACAAGTTTGAACAGGAGAGTCACGAACGTGCATCACAGAACAGAGCAAGGCGACCATTTGAGCTTATAAAACTTAAACCTTGTTTTTTTTTTTTTAAATGAGTGATCGTTTCGCTTGATAAGACCCTTATTCATCGTCTGGAATCGTTAAAAGCCCTTTGAACAGTTTGCACTTAAACTGTCTTTTGGACCTTGAACTGTTTGGTTACCAGTAAAGTGCATTATATGGAGAAAAATCCTGGAATGTTTTCATCAAAAACCTTAATTTCTTATTGCCTGAAGAAAGAAAGACATGGACATCTTGGATGACATGGGGGTGAGTAAATTATCAGCAAAAGTTAGTTAACTTTTTTTTTTTAAAAGTTAACTACTCCTTTAAATTGCTTAGTGACTGTAAAGACGCTCTAGTTTAAAGTCCCTGTAAAGTCAAAGTTAAGTATTTGTTCTGAGTTTGTCACATCACAGAAAAATGTGTTATTAGCCACCCAGCCAAATTTGAATGATAAAAAAAGCCGGCAAGTACATAAAATAAGCTATCAAAATCATGAAAAAATGAGCAGTTATCTCTGTTCTCAAACGCTGGGGGCGTGTCCGCTGGCTGTGCTGAAACCACGCCCACTACTGGGAAAGCTGTCGACGGTGATATTAGTTGAAACTGCTTTCGCGACAGGAGGATGAACACTGAGGCGGGAGATAGTCGTTTCGGCCCCGTTCACCAGTAACAGTCGATAATCAGTGAATCCCAGTTGTCTCTGAGGAAAGTTTATAAAACTATCCATTGTAAAATGATCACTACAGAGGTGGGTGTTGGCGGCGATCCTCAGCTCTTCATCAAGGTTGGCTCTCTAAAAACCTCTTCTTGATGTGATCGTTTTTAGGGAATTTATATGAAGATATCGATCTGTTTTGTACATGATCGCATCCAGGTAGCCTATGCATGCCCGTGTCGAAGGCATAGCTAGGTAGCAAACTGTAGGCTCAGCTGTAGTAACTAATACTAGTACTGACAGTGCTCGCGATTGAGCGGTGAATGCGAATGTGCTCGGGGAGTGGTATTGTATGTTAGGGGAGAGATCAGACTCTGTGCGTCATCAAGCCCTGTTTTAGCCCCGCCCAAACAATCCGTAAAATTGCAATGGTGAAAAACTGTTTAACGGTCTAACTCCACATTTCAGTACTTCACAGTTCACAGTCTTTGTAATATGTTTTAGCAATACATATGTAACATTTATAATGTGTTTAGAACTTTTTTTGTAGAATTGCCTTTACAGGGACTTTAAGCATTATACTGTAAAATTATATTGTTCACTGTTATATCTGTAAAAATGAATTTATTTCAAATAAATGCTTGAAAAAAATGTATTAAGCAGCACAACCGTTTTCTATAACTTCTATAACTTTTAACTTCGACAATGTTTAAAAAAATGCTACTTGAAATCCAAATCAAATCAAAGCTTTGCCATCAAGAGCATTTTACCCCAAATGTATATTATTTATTCCCAATTGGTCACACTTAATGCCTATGTAGTACCCAGCAAGACGTAGCCTTGATCTTGGATGCTTTCTATAGTCCTCCCTCCGTTGTCATATTCCTTGAATTCCACATCAAGTTTCCTTTCCTCCGTATCTGTCAGCATTCAGTGTAATTGTGTTTAAAGCTGTGTTTGTTTGGCTGCAGAATGCTCTTGGAGGACCCAGAGGCCAGACTGGCTGCCATTTCTATCACCTGCTTATGTTCTCTGCTCGTGTTTTGTCAAGGGCCTATGGGTATTTAACGTCTGGTCCAAAAGGATTTAGACAGCGATCCATTGTAACGTGTGATCTGAACCCTGACTGCAAAACATAGTGTGTTTATCGAAGCATTGCTTTCTTTATTCTTATGCTTTATTACTAAAGTTTAAGTCTGAGATGAGTTAAAAACTGCATAATTTTATGATGACTAGTCAAAGGGGGTGTTTGATTCCAGAGTTCGAGGGTTGTTTGATTCCTCGAGCTCGAGGTCCTTAGCTGATCTCGTTCTCGTCTCATCTGTAAACTGGGGGGTGTGATCAGTATTAGTGATCCTTATTGGTTGATACTGCTTTCAGAGATCGGTGATCTTCCCCTAAAATCCTGATTGGAGCACCCTTAGCGGAAATGCTCAAATTAAATATCCGATATCTACAGATAAATAATTGTTAAAAAATCACTCTACAAGGGTTGAATGTAGAAAGATGACTTTTAAAAAGTTACCTCAATTCATTCTTTTTAAAGAAAAGTCAATGAAAATAATGACGCAAAAACAAAAGCTTGGAGGGTAAAAACTACATAAACAAGTCTACCTCAGTCACACTGTTCTCTGTCCTACTGTGCAATTTTAGAGTCGGAAAAATGAAGCGATTGTTTATCGGTCTGCAAGGCCTCTGTGATGTAGTTGAATAGTGGTGCACTAATGCTTGATGGTATTACTTTGATTCATTGCTCTCATTTCCTGCTCTTTCTTTTCTGTGGAACGTGAGCTATGATCAGTGTAAGGGCTCTGTAATGGATTTTAAATGTCTGCTCTCTGGCGCTCCTGTGTGGACAGGCAGGTATCTGGAGAACGGCCCGAGCTGTAAATAAAGGCATTGAGTCTCACTCAGCCTCTGATGGAATCTAAACTGTACAGAGCAAGACCGCTCCGCCGCGACTCAGAAGGCCTAAACAGATGTTGCTCCCTGGAATGTGCAGAGACCGGACAGTTACGTTCCATCCTTCACTGGATCCCACATTCCATTCCTCCTCCACCGAGTGTGTATGAGTCTGTGTGTGTCTGAGTGGATGAGAAATATTTATGTCTCTTTTCTTTGCCTGCAAGTGTGTTTGCCGGTGTGCGAGAGATTCCTCTTCGACACCGCTGCTGTAGTAACAGACGGTGACCCTGCTTGGAGTTCAGTCCATTTTGAGTGTTGCGAACAGAGTGACTGAGAAAGCACAGTTTGTTCGTCACAGTCCTTGACTACGGTTCTTACACGGCCAAGCTTCACCACATCACAAGCTCCTCTGGAGAAGCAGATCCAGCAAAAATTGTATCTTTGGCTCTCTCCGCCCTGGTCGATCCAGGCTCATAGCGTTCCCTTCCCTCTCTGCTTCACCATGACAACTAGCCCGGTGGCGCAGTCGTTTGTCTTCTCTTGATAAATATTTAGTCCCCTTGGTAGCGGGAGAATTTCTCATTCACTACTGTGTGCCGTTACATAATATTTCACAGGACAAATTCCAGTCTAAACGTGCTGGTTGCTTCTGCATGGCTCCCTACAATGATGTTGTTCTGGTAATTCAATTTCAACAAGAATGAAATGGTTGAACAGATATTTCAACACACAGCTGTTAAAAACATGTCAGAAACAGTGCTTTTTTGTTTCGAGAATACTTCATTTTTACATTGTGCTTTTAATTTGCATGCTAATCATCTGTTTTTCTGTTTAAAATATGAATTTCTGTCCATTTTACTTACAAAATCTGTCTGTCTTTGTCGCTTATTTGTACTGCATGCATTTGAAATTCTTATTTTCATCTTGTTTTTAAAGTTTAAATAAGTTAAGTGATGAACAATGCCAAAAACGTTTTTTTTTTGTGTTTTTTTTTAAGCAAATTTCAATTTTCATGCTGTACATTATAGTGTTGTGCTGCCTAAGTTTACTTGTAATACTTTATTTTAGTTTTTGGTGTTTTATTTGAGTTTTTTAGGCAAAATTATTTATTTTGTTTTTTGGCCATAACATGAATATAATTATTGGTGTATCAGTATCGGTCTAGCTGTGTAGCTTAAGTGATGTGGAAAGGAAAGTCATTCAAAGGAAAACCATAACAAAGGAAACTAAAGTTGTCAGATTTTGTTTAAAGATTACATTAAAAATTACATTGGTTATTTTTTGTTATCTTTTTATAAATAGTTCTCAATAACACCAGGAACATTAGGAAAGTAAATGGGGTCAGTTTAGATTCCACATTGACTTTTAAGTGATCGCTCTGTTTCTGGTTTCTCTTCCTCTGCCTATTAGATCCATGAGAAGTTGCAGTGTTATGAAGACCGTGCACCGACTCCAGTACTGGACAGCGCCGGCTCACTGGCTCAAAACGTGAGTGAACCACATGCACACACTTCCTGTTAAAAGCCCAAACACTTTTATGCTCATAAACTTTACACACTTCTGCATGGGTAAACGCGCGCACACATGCACATTTTGTGCCTGCGAAAACACATGCGTACGCAGACATGTCCCAGCATGTCTAGCTTAAAACTGTCTCCAGGAGGAACTTGTCATTAAAGGAAAGAGAAAATATGGCTGGATGTCTGGGGCAGAGAACACAAGTAGATGGGCTGCAGATGAGAGTGTGAGATGAGGCGTGAAGCATTGTGTGTGTGTGTCTGTATAAGACATTAGTCATCAGTATTATAAAACACTCAACATTTCAACTCTCAACGGCTTGCATAATGTAAACTGACTACTATATCAACATGGCCACATAGACACACACACAAACCTATGTAAACTTGGAAGAGTTTACTTTGGATGTGATCACAGAGAGGAAAGACAGAAGGAAAAAACACAAAGGCGATTCAGAGAGGAGCACCTCAGGTCAGCACTGACTTACTACTTTGGATATCCAGACAGAAATGCATTTTTGCATTAAAATATGCCACATCTGTTCAAATAAAGTGTTTTTTGCACCAATCTGCATCATCTGCTGATCTAAGAAGAGCTTATCAATCTGTTTCCTGCTCACTCATGTCTCAGTGGGCGGCGGTAACAAGTCCTCTCGTGGTTTCATAAATCTTGACTTCCGTTACGGAACTTTCTCAACCTGCAGCTCAGATCCGCCCCTCAGATTTACACTTTCCTTCGGTGTCCCTGAAGGTCCCACGCAGGGATAACCCGATATCTGTGTGTGTGTGTGTGCGTATACGGTCCATCAAAGGGTCGAACAGCCAAAGCAACCAAATTACTCAGAGTCCCCCCCCCCCCCTGTGTTTTTTCAGACGTATCATTTTCATCCGTTGCTGTGAGGAATATACGGCATGCTGCTGTTTTGAACGCTGTAGTGGGTTTGCCGCCCACAGCTCATTCGAGTGTTAAGTTTCACTAATGGAGCTTTAATTTATAGTGTAGCATAAAATGCCATTTTAACCTCCGCCTGGCCTACGATGCTGTCTAGCACTGACACAGCAGGCAAGCTCCTATCATGCACACGCACATTTCCATCAAAAGATTTAGCAGAGATGAAATGCACACTATTCTTAACGGCAGTATATCCTATGAAGTTAAGTAGCAGGTGTGCAGTTCTTATTCTGGCCACAGTTAGGCAGTAAAGAGTGTTACTTCCACAAGCAGTTCTCAGTCTGGATAAAAACAATTGCCAGATTACAGTCCTCATTGTGTCCTGGTGTCTTCCATTAGACTGTGGAAAAATGGAGCGCTCCAGAGCCTGCTGGATGATACTCTCACTCATTCCTCTCAGATACAGAAGACTGTTCTGGAGACGTCAGTCAGACAAATACATAACAACTATGTCAAATTACACAAGAGTAGCAAAACGATATCCCTTATTGATTAATAGAAACCGCTTGTAGAGTTATTTTATATGGTCATTCTGTTGCCAGGCATAATACAGATGTCATAAGCCAGATGTACTGTGATTTTTGCTGTCTGAAACTAAATTCTCAGATCCTAAAAGATTACTTTTGTAAGACAAAAGGACACTTAGTGTAACATTTGCACTGAATATTAGTCAGAATTGTGTTTTGGGCCACATTAACAAAGATCAAGAAACTGTTTCTTTTGAAGCAAATGAAGATTCTAGGTTGACAAACTACAGTAGTCAACATTTGATGTGCACCAAAACCATTCATCAAAGTTATACATGAATTTTGAGCCAAACCTGTTCTTGTCTTTTTTTTGATCCACTTCAAATGTTGACTACTGTATATGGAGTTAGAGGAACTTATCTGTCACAAACTATTTTTAGACCGATACACAAGTCAACAAAATGTGTTAACAATATTCTAGTGGTTTTTGGATATATAAATTCAAGAATTGTACATATTGTGCCTTTTAATTTGAACCATTTATTGATGGTTTCATGTTTCATCCATTTTTATTTTATTTTTGAAATATTCATTTATCGGCCATTTTAACTGCCGATGCCGATAGTTTGGAAAATGCCTAATATCGGCCTGCCGATAAATCGGTCTGGCTCTAGTTAATGATCAACATTATGTTGACTGAACTAAAAATAAGAATGTTTCAACTTAATTTAAGACAGCACCTTTTACAGTTCTTGGACGTTTACGTCATTTAAAACTTAAATCACATATTTTGATGAGTTAAAGCAATGTAAAAACGTATGTTGCCATACTCATAACTTATTGATCATATTTCATTTTTTTTACAGTGAACTTAAATCACTTAATTATAATTTTAAACTTGCAACCATGCATTTATTTAGGTTGTGATAACAGGTCCCCTGAATTACTGAGTGCACAATACATGTGTAATCATATAGCCATGAAAGACTGATGCCTGTTCTGTGCATGCTGTTTTTCTCCATATGTGACCTCTGCTTGCCACAACATCAGTTGCAGTTGTTCGTATGTATCTATTGTACACGATGGAGTTTGTGTGTGTCACTAAAGGTCACTGTCACCATTACTCAACTGAATGTCACCTCCCATTTGGCTGGTTACTGGAAAAGCCTACTGACATCCCAAGGGAGTGATTCTTCAAACACTGATTACAGCATTTCAGCAGAATCACTCCACACACACACTCACACATCCAGAGTGAGTTAGGTCAGTAAAAAGGTTGTGGCCCAGGAGTAACACTTCAAATGGATCTGGGGAACAAGCCCATCTCTCTGTCTTTCTCCTCGCTTAGAGAAACGGCAACGTGTCTCTGAGCCTCATTAAGTCTGCATCTGTGCTGCTATAAATCTCTAAATCTCTTAAACATACACACACACTCTCCACCTGCTACCTGCCACAAGAGAGACAGTTATACTCCAATTATTCATAATATACGCGTTCATGTCTCCATGACCAATGCATGTATTCATGGAAGTTATAAACGCTCATTTTCTCTCGCTCTCTGGTTTTTCTTTCTCTTACTATCTCTTGTCTTTTTCTTCAGTTGACAGAGGAACTTCAAGGAAGAAGTGCAAGTAATGAGATCAGAGAGCTTGTCAAGCTACTGTCTAAACCACATGTAAAGGTAAGAGAGTAAATGAACACTTTTAGCATAGATATATATAGATGTATAGATAGATATACAAAAGCTGAATCAGTCATTACTTCAGTCTTCATTGAGTAATGTAAAAATACATTTATATTTATATGCAATATATAATATATAAAGATTTATGTTCTGTAATGCTGTTTTTTTGTATTATATATATATATATATATATATTAAATAGAAAAATAATCTTTTATAACATTATAAATAATACTTTGTATCAGGTTAATAATTTTTGCTCAACATTTTTACATTCTTTGACTTGAATGGCAGTGCATCTGACCTTTAATCTGTAGTCTGGCTATATCATCATAGTACTCTCTGCCCTTATATTCCTATAGTCTACATTCCTCTCTTCCTTAGTCTAATTGTCTGTCCCTTATGTCTTTAACCCAATGTCTATTGGTGCTGTGTAAAGCGCTAGCAGATGGCTTCTAGGGACTAGAATGGCGTCTCTGTACGATAGTAACTGTATCACTCTCAATTAGTGTTGAAATGATCCATTCCCTGTGACCAGACATAAATCAGAACCTATTAAATGATCTCCTTCCTCCCCCCTCCTTTATGATTCACACATGAAAAAACACATTTTACTCATATTAGACCCGCTTACTGACTTATATTGACATTGATGAAAGCGGCAATTACAGCAACCCGTGTGTTGCGGAAAGAAAGAGCTGCTCTGGTTTGACTGAGAACGGAGGAGCGAGAAAGAGGAGATGAGCGGCTCACAAGTTTGTGGAGGAAAATGGATAGAACTGTATTGCTTTGCCCTTTTCTCTTGTGCTTGTGTGTGTATAGATTTTGTGCAGGCGTGTATATAGGTAGTTATTTTGCAGGTTGAATAATGACTGTTCGTATGACAAACTCTTTCCTAATGAGAGCTGCATGCCCAGTTACATTTCCCAGACTTTATTTGAACAAGTTCAGCAATTTGTTATTGTAGGAGGCCCGCTATAACTAATTAACATGCGCGCACATACACGCATTGCAAGAGTATATGAAGAAATGAGTTACTGCTTTCGACTCTCAATTCACTCTTTTGCCACCTGGCCTGATGCTGACCCCATCCCTACGACCTCAGGAGAGTGTTTAGCTCCACAAAACTGTGTGTGAGTGTGTGAGAGAGACAGGATAGTGAATTTAGACTAGGTTGTTGGAAGGTAGACAGACTCTGTGGGAACAGAGTGGTGCTATTACGCTCCCTCACAATTTCACTAATCAAATGTAAGAGGCAGAGAAATGTTAGAATTTTCCTGAAATATTCCTGCATTTTTCAGAAGCTTTAAATAATGCCAATCCTAGTGTTCCTGAAAATATGATGTTTTCACTACTCATGTACTGTATTTGATAGGGACTAGATTGAGATGTTTTCTGAAGAAAAAAAAATTCTCAATGGCATCAATGTAGTTACTACATTGGGGTCGGCATGGCAAGCTGCAGCTTTCTTTGTCCATACAATGTTTTAGGAAAACTCCCGAAAGCCAAAACACAACGCCACATCAATTTTGCCCTCAGAAAATGAAGACAAAGAAAGAGTAATGGGGGAAAAATGAGGTTGCAGATGGTTAATGCCTTGATGCTTTAACAATATTTATACTGTGATTTTATTCAAGTGTAAGTGTAACACTATCTGGTGTAAAGTGTTTTTCTTTTTTTCGATCTTTTATAGATCTGTTCTGAAGAATGAAAGGAATGGCAATTAAAAATGTTCCATATCAGTTTGCTTAAATAACTGCACCATTCAGTCTAATCTGCAGAGCTGTGTTTAGAGTAGAAGCAATCTACCCTATAGAACAATGTGTATGTTCTGCTTCACATCTTCAGAAATGCTTGGCTTGTGGACGTTTTTTTTTTTTTCTGTCTCTAGTTGTTTTAAGTTGTTTACGTCTCATAATATGAAGAGTTCAGATGCAAAAGCCTCTAAGTGCCATTTGAAATTTTGTTCTAGAATGACCATTTTTACCAAACTTGTATATTTAAGTTCAGTAATTTCACTTAAATAACAATTAATAGGTAATCTTCATTGCCATTTAAGTGAAATTACTGAACTTAAATATACAAGCTTGATAAAAAAATATAATTTTAGAAGAAAATTTCAAATGGCACTTAGAGGCTTTTGCATCTGAACTCTTCATATACTCCCTATCTTTACAAATAGGTGTTGATGTGGTTGATTGGCATGTGTATAGTCCAATCAGAGATGAGGTTTGATATAAGAGTCTAGTGAAGCGGCTCATAACTATTATTTATCAAAGAATTGGATCACACTCCTCACACTGTTTTTTCCATGCATGTTGTAAGATCTCAATGGAAATATAGTTTCTTGACAGAAGTAGGCCTACTATGTTTTCATCATGTATGTGGACTGCAGATGTGATCAGATTTAGCAGCGGTGGTATTTGATTTATTGAGTATTTTGATCCAGATTCGATTTTTATATTTTACCTGCCGTTTTCTGTGAAGATTGAAGTGTTAGTTAATTTCCAGATAATTGCATCTAATTGTCATTACCCTGGACTGATGACATTGACTCACTCCCTAGACACATGCCTCTCTTGCTCTGTTTGTTTCCACCACTCTCGCTCGCTCTCCCATCTGTTCTGCTTTAGCCACATGTTGAGTGTTGTTCTGGAGCTTTATCCCATGTCATAAAACAGACACATTTCTTCTCTTCTCTGTCTTGTCTCTTCCCTCTTTTTTTTTTCTTCACTCTTAGTTTTTTATAACTGAAAGATGGTTTTATGTTGGAAATGCAAGGGAGAAAAGAAGCAAAAGAAAGAAAAAAGCTGCAGCTGCATTTGACACAGCATCGTTAAAGTGGCTCGGTAATGAATCTCTGAATGCCGTCATTCTTTAGCTATAGCTCGTTCTTTGAGAGCTGAGGTGTGAAATATCTGAAATGGCTGAGAATTTCATTGCCTTCTGTCCATCCATCTGCTGTTAAGTTTCCTCACCCCTTGGAAACTCACAGCAATGCTGCTGTATTCCCAGCAGGATACTTGTAATACTCATAATAATCTAATCAAATGAAAGATGATAATATGATTGGTCTTGATTTTGTTTCAGTTCTTTTTTTTTTTTTGCTGGCGATGCTACAACAAACAACTTTGCCAAAGATGGTTGTAGTGAAATAGTAATGGTTATCAATTCAAAAGCAGCTTTATTTGTCAGGAGGAGGTAGTAATCTAAAGCAGACCTCTAAAGCTCCATGATTTATGCTATAGGATTCAAGCAGATGCTTGGAGTATCAAGGCTGGAATGATTAGCCAAAACGAGTAGCTGCACAAAATCAGTCAAACGACTACTGTTTGTCTTACTGTGTGTGTTTCTGTGGGTTTTTATGTGTACAACTCTTTCTCGTTGCAGAGTTTGTTGTCTGTTCATGATACTGTGGCCAGGAAGAGTTACGATCCAGAACTTCCTCCTTTGCCAGATGACATTGATGATGAAGAAGACTCTGTCAAGATCATTCGACTGGTCAAGAATAAAGAGCCTTTGGTGAGCCTCACACTTACAAACACATGTAATTTTCCACATACTGTCAAAGCCAGATACATATAGGCTGCCATAATTCAAGCATACGTAGTGGAAAACACTCTTGTGAACATGAAGCACATTAATAAATGTGCATTTGCATGATAGTGTTAGTGATGTGTTTGGCTCACACCGTCTGTTCACCCATATCCTCTAGTTCCTGAGTGACCACATATCCTCTGCCTAAACATGACAGGCCACATTCCGCATTACATTACATAGAAAGCAGCTCTGTGTCCAGTGGTCTCCTGCAGTGTATAGATGTACAGTATGTGTCTGTTCCACTTTCGCTTGCGTGTCATTTACAGCTCTCTCTAAGCCAGATTTTTGTCCAAGTTTGCTCTTCCATTTCATCTAATTTCTCAGTGAGCTGTCAGAATCAGGACCTCTGTTTACTTGTATTGTCAGCAGTTACCCAAGCCTGTTTGGCTTAAGGCTGTACTGTACTTCTGGACTGATGCTGACTTTCTAATTTCTTAACTTAAAGTACTGGTTGTCGACCTGACAAACCTTATGTCTAATTTTATACCCAGTTTATACTGAATTGTGCCAACATGAAGGCTAATTTACCAGAATTATAATATATTTATTTTTTGGAAAGCAATTTATAGGGTACTTGTTTTTAATAGGGTTTCACTTTTGATCAATTTAATGCATCCTTGCTGAAATGATTTATAATGTTACAAAACATTTTGATTTTAAAATAAATGCATTTTTTTAAACTTTGATAATCAAAGAGTTCTGAAAAAATGCTTTACATCATGACTTTCAACATTGATAAGTAATAAGACATATTAACTTCTAAGGCACTAAATCAGCATATTAGAAGGATTTTTGAAGGATCATGTTACACTGAGTAATTAATGCGGAAAATTCAACTTTGCCATCACTGGAATAAATTGCAATTAAAAAAGTATTAAAGTAGAAACGGTTATTTTAAATAGTAATTTTTTTATCCACAATATTACTGTTTACTGTATGTGATTAAATAAATGCAGTCTTTGTGAGCATAAGAGACTTTTTCAGAAACTTTAATTGTATTTGGTAGATAATGAAAATGCATTATTTGTGAATGTCCCTACAGAATTATTTGTTTTATAAGCCCTGAAATAGCACTCTAGATCAAATGTTACAGAATCAGATTTAACAGCTGTAGACCAGCATTTGATTTTGAATGCATGTTACTTCCTCCTAAGTGAAATAAAATGAAAAATAAATCTCTTCTTTCCTGTAGATAAACAGTCTGACCTGTGGTCCAAGTCCTCAGCAATTTTACATAATGGCTGCCCTCAGACAAATCTCAGTTTACATTTTATATGTAGAAAAAACTGTTTTTCAGACAAAAAGTCCAATGTGTTTTTCTCCCCAATTCAATCAGCCCAATGAGCTTTGTGCTGAATTTCTTTTTGCAATTGTTTCTGATTTTAACTTGAAATTGTATATATCGGGCTCAGACAGCACATGCAGTCATTATTACAAAAGGACTGCAAAGTTTAACTTTAATTTACTTTTTTTTTCTCTTGTGTGTGGTAGTAGCAGGCTTTTGCCTCAGAGGATGATTCATCTGTTTGTATAATTGTGATTAGTTGAATGGGTAGGATTCGGTAGCTCTGATTAATTGCTATCATTTTTCAGACCATGACATCATGCATGATTTTAGTGAGGGGAGTAATGAGAAGAAAGTGTAAGGTGGGTGGGGGGGATGTTGGGTTCAGGTCCTTGGACTTTGGGGGTGGGACCCAAATCCTCATGCTCTCCCCTTCTGTTTGGTAACTTTAACCTGCTGATTTATTAGCAGCAATGGCAGGAGGCTGAAATAATTGGGCTTGGATCAGCATACATGGCAGCAGCAAAAGTGAGCTCAGTGGTGGATTTTATTGAAAGAATGTGTTGTTTTGGATAAGGTTACTGAAAGGTCTATAGGAAGGCAAAAGAGTGTGTGTATGGGTGTGTGTTTGTTGGATAAAGTGTATATGCTATATCCAGATTTTCAGACTGAGTAATAGGAGGATAGGAGACAGAACAGACATTTGCCAACAAGATGATTTGGCTGTAGATTGTGTGCACTCATTTCATCTCACGACTTGTGTTGGTTGGCGAGAATCTAGGTGCTTATTGCACATTTAAGTTGGAGCGTGACCAACAAAATCTTTAATCCCTAACTATACAGTTTGTCTTGTGATGTACTAGTCTTCTTCAATCTCCATGTCACTCACCCTGAGGGCTATATTAATCTACCCCCTCACCTTTTTCAAAATGAGAACTTTCTCTTGCTACTTTTAAATTTGATAACAAATTTTCAATTAATTTGAGTGAAAACTTGAGACAACTGTAATGTTGTCAAACAAGTTGCTGTAATGACAACAATGCAAGTGCCTAATTTATTTATCTCACACAAAGGTCTGTTGCAAAGCACACATTTCTCAGTTTATAGGGTGAGATATTTTATTTATGAATTAAACATAAAAGTCATTTTGGTTTAAAAGTGTTATCAAATGAAACTCAACAGTTTATAAATGTGCAATTCAGCTGGACTACAACAGTGCTGAACTCCCTTCACGCCAGTCATGATGACAATAGTTTGTACGCTATTTATTTATTATGTGCACAATTATTAGAGTAATCTATATTACTATTACAACAGCAGAATATACAATCAGAGAACACCAAAGCCTAATATTTTCTTCTTAAAAATGCAGGAAGCGATTTCTGAGAGATGCTGTTGAAAGTGGATTGGGCTGAACACCAAAACACACTTGTAGCCAATCAGCAGTGACGGGTATATACACACATGAGGGGGCATGTGCTTGTTCTGCATAGCGTCTGCTTCCGAAATCGCATACTTCCCTACTATAAAGTAATCAAAAAAAAAAAAAAAACAAGAATAGGCAAAAAGTACTCTGACCTACTACTTCTGACGAGATTTTGAAGTGCACAGGGAGAGGATTTATGAATGGCGGTGAAGTGAAGTGACATAACTGATGCTGGTACTGCATCCCTGAGCTCACGCAACAGGAAGGAGCGCAATAGACGATGCAAATTAGTGACGTGCATTATCGCAGACCAACAAAAACAAACATTCCAGCCTGGAAACAAATATTTAAAAGTAAAATAACTGGCTCTAGAAGCTTTTTCAGAGAAACTAGTATATGTATTTAGCATGGTTTCTCAATATACAGCACATTCAAGCCTAACATATACTAAAAGCTAAAAAACCTAAAAAATTGATTTCGGGGGCCTTTAAGAACATCTTTTTTTTAATTCAGGAATGTTTTTTTTTTTAAATTTTATTTAACCTTTATTTAACCAGGAAGTCCCTTGAGTCTCTTTTCCGAGGGAGACCTGGCCGTTCTTACTATGTTGTTCTTACTAGTGTTCTTACTAATTTCTTAACAACTTAGATTTTCTGTGTTCAGTTCCTGCATAAAGCTGGTCATTTGAGTGTTTTTGTGGAGTTTAGGTTTTTAAGACATATGACCACTTGAGTTTGTGTGTCGTAGTTTCAGTATACCAGGACAGTGTCAATGAAGCACTCAGAATGTCCCAGAACACTTTGATTTGGCTTATTGTTATTGACTACCATTGTATAGATTTCACTTCCATGAACAAAGGACCAAAATTCAGAAACCATTCAGCCAAAACAAGACTTGCTACTTTGGAAAAAAAAAAAGTTTTTGAATGTCAGACTAGATTTGTCATGTCGAGTCTTGGAAAGCAAGCACAGCCAGCAGACATTCTGTACTATAAAAGTTCACGCTGTTCTCATTTCCTCTGTGATCTCTCATTGGTTGACACAAGGTTCCATAATGTTTCCTCTCAAGTGCCTTCATTAGAAAAGTTTTTGTATATTTTGACTTCTGTTTGATGTTGGATATTTAGTAGTAGTAGTAGTTTTTGATAGTAGCAGTAGGGTATTTATTTGTGGTATGGGGACTCCAATGTACAGTATAAAAGGGTAAATGTAGACTGCCCTGGATTTATACAGGAGGACAAATGACCAAATACATATATGGTGTCTATTTCTACATTCATCTGAATTTAGCTCTTGCTTCTGAAGTTTTTCATCTGTTCTTCCTTTTCTTTTAAAGCAAACAGTAGATAAGGTTTGGGTAAGCTATGAAAAACCAAAGCACTACGGTAATGTCACTTTCTAGAAATAATGGAGGCACAAATTACATTATGGAGAAAGACAGGAGCACACATGTTCGCGCTTTTGAGATGCATCTGTGTACACAGGAGAAATACACCATGGCCCTGATGGCTCCGAGTGGAATAAAAAAAGTTCTCTTCAGTGAGAGATTGAGGACAGAGAGACAGACAGAGGGTAATGTTGACCTGAGAGCTAATGTGTCACTCATCTCCCATGTTACCTGGGATCAGTGATGGACTGAAATAATGGCCAGGCAAATTTTTCATACCATAATCTACAGCCTTGTTAACAGAATAAAACATTATGTTCAATGTTATTTGTTTATTTATCAAAAATATTTGTCTAATATATTAGTTCGTATGTAAGTGTAAGGCCTTTCTCCACACCTTTTGCTGTTATTCTAATCTTTCATTCATTCCTCTGCATAATGTGCTTAGATTTTCCCCAAGTGTCCATGCTTCTGTGTTTATATCCTGTTACAGAGCGTACGGGAGGTGCTTGAGCGCGCGCACACTGTGCTCTTTGTAGTGAGGTCTGCTCGTCTTGTGAAGGCATTTCCTCATGTAGGTGAAGAAACAAGATCTGACTTCTGAAAGGGATGTTTCCTTAGTGGGGTGATTTACAGTGAACACTGGCAACACTTAAAATGCATCCGATGTGTGAAACCACAGACACACACAGATTTAAGTCTTTTATACGTTTGAAACAAGCAATGGTTGTTCCACTTACTGAAGACTCTTTTTAGTCCAAAACTCCATATCAAATAATATTACAAATAAAATTGGTTGTGATTAGCTGCAATTTTTAGTGCAGA